ATCTATATATATATATATATATATATATATATATATATATATATATATATATATATATATATATATATATATATATATATATATATATATATTTATATTTATATTTATATTTTTATTTTTCGAAATATATATTTATATATATTGTAGAAATAGTAAATATAATTTTATTGGACATAAAACAGCATTTTATGATTGATAAAAGTATATTGTAATTTTTGAATGTATTATTTCCTATTTTGAATTTATTGTATTTATTTAGGTGAAAACCAAAAATAAATATGGGAAAATTCAAAATGAACTTTAGTAAACTTGGAAATATTATTTCTAAGTTAAATAATGTTGTTGACAAATATATTGTACAAAATAATATTAGTTAGTATATTTATATATTTGTATTTTAATTACATAAATAACTAATATATATTTTGGAAAGTTATATCTCTGTAAGAAAAGGAATGTTTTTCAAAATATTAAATTTTTATAATTTAATGTTTTCAAAAATAATTTAAATGGCTTTTAATAACTTATTGAGATTTAACTAATATATTTTGGAAATAATGATTTATAATTTTTGGAAATTTTATTTCCAGGTTTATAAATGTTGAAAATAATTACTGGAAGTTGAAATTTAATTTTCATGATTTTTGCAAAATTGTTTCAAAATTTTAATGGCCTTTTTGAATATAATTTTGTAAAAGGGGCATTTTGGTCATTTGAAATATTCTGGAATTGTTTTTATGCTGACCGAATATCCAAATTATATAAAATGATTTTATAAAATTTATTAGATTTATTTGGACATCTAATTTAATTTTATGAGTTTTAGAAAATATTTACTGCCGTAGTATTTTTCTAGAATTGTCTGGGGTGAGCGTGGTTCACCCGGTGTATGTATATCTCTATTGCTTGTATGGATGTATGATATTCATGGTGGATGATTGTGGCTATAGTTTATTTGATTATAATACGGCCTGCATGTCGTGCCTTATCTCTTAAACTCTTGTTGTAAATCTATTTCTCTCTCTTACCTCAACCGAGGATTCTTTTCTCACGTGGTGGTTGGAAGATGAAAAGATTTGAAGACCGTTTCAAAAAATCTAAAAGAATGGAGATAGCCCGAAGTCCAAGTGCCCGGAAGCCAGTGGGAGCTATCGTTTTATTTTTCTTTTAGTGGCCACAATCATTACACGTTTATTTACTGCATTTTGTGAATGCATGTTGAATGTATGTTGAACGCTAGTAATGGACATGTGCGCGGCCATGTCGATAAGTGAGATCGAAATTATAAATCCCTCACGAATATTAAGTCTGTTGCCTTTTGACGCCCGACACCTATCCGGCTAATGTGCATTGTCATGTACTCAGCCTCAGCAGAGCATGGTACGCTGTATGTTAAGCCGGTTACGGAAACCGCCATAGCGTGGTCGCTGTTGCACGTTGGGTTAGACTTAACTCAGTCTCGGTCAAATGGATGGACGACTCAGAGGCAGTAAGTTGGGGTCATCAATGACAAGTCGGATGATTTTACTCACTCATCCAGCCAGGAGTTGGATCTTTATGATTTAATTGGAACTCTGTTCCTAACCAAAGTAGTCTGCTTGTAAGACGTGCCTCAGCAAATTACAAGTATGGTGAAAAGGTGTCCTGGTTCGATTGTAGTAATATTGTTCGCCCAACACCAGACCAAGAGGTGAGAGCCCGGCTCATCAGTTGGAACTATGTTCCTACCTAAATAGTTGTCTTGTGGAGTATCGCCCAAGCGGAACGCAAGATAATGAAATATGGATCTTGGCCCACTACAGGGTTATTGATTTGTTAAAAATAGTGGGAGATAATTAACTAAAGGCCTAATTAATTATTAAACATAATAGATAACCTAGTTTGCAAAATTTTCTGTAGATGGAAAACAACAACAACCCTTTCAACCTGCGTTACATCCTGGAAAATAACAAGTTATCTGGGACAAACTTTCTTGACTGGGAGATGAACCTCCGAATCGTTCTAAACTGTGAGAGGAAACTCTACATCCTCGAAACGGATCCTCCCAAGACCCCTGATGCTAATTCTCGTGCGTCCGAACTCACTTCATTCAAGAAGTATGAGGACGACGCGCGAGATGTAAAGTGTATCATTATGGACAGTATGACCGCGGAGCTCCAAAGGTTCCACGCAGACATGGAAGTGCGTCCTATGATACAACGCTTAAGGGACCTTTACCAGGGTCAACCCCAAAACTCAGGTATTTACGTTATCAAAGTCAATATGTCTGATATCACCTCTTGGGTGATGGATACTGGATGTGGTTCTCACATCTGTACTTCTATGCAGAACTTGCATGAATGTAGACAATTGACGGAGGGAGAGATACAACTAAAGGTCGGCAATGGCGCACTCGTCTATGCATTGGCCGTCAGAACCTATAGTTTGTCTCTACCTAGTGGTCTTATATTGCATTTGAATAATTGTCTATTTGTACCTAGTATGAGCAGAAACATCATTTCTGTATCCTGCCTTGACAAAGCAGGATTTTCGTTCGTTGTAAAAGACAAAACTCTTTCTGTCTTTAGAAATGATATATTTTATGCAAGTGCAAAAATGACCAACGGTCTCTATGTCCTTGACATGGATACCGCAATATATAACGTAGATGTCAAGAGAAACAAACCTAACAGTTTGAATCTCGCGTACCTATGGCATTATCGTTTGGGCCACATTAACGAGAAACGCATATCTATGTTACATCGCTCAGGTGTACTTGATTCATTTGACTCCCAGTCATATGATATATGTAAGTCTTGTTTACTTGGTAAAATGACAAAGGCTCCATTCACCGGTCACGGTGAAAGGGCGAGTGACTTATTGGGCCTCATACACTCTGATGTCTGTGGTCCAATTAACACTGTAGCTAGAGTTGGTTATTCTTACTTCGTTACATTTACTAACGACCTTAGTAGATATGGATATGTGTATCTCATGAAACACAAATCGGAATGCTTTTACAAATTCAAAGAATTCAAGAACGAAGTAGAAAAACAATTAGGTAAAAGTATTAAGACCCTCCGCTCGGATCGAGGAGGTGAATACTTAAGCCTGGAGTTCGATGACTATCTGAAAGAGCATGGGATCTTATCCCAACTCACTCCTCCGGGGACACCTCAGTTAAATGGAGTGTCTGAGAGGAGGAATCGGACTTTGTTAGACATGGTCCGGAGCATGATTAGTCTGACAACATTGCCAGAATCATTTTGGGGATATGCATTGAAAACAGCAGCACACACACTCAACAGAGTTCCATCTAAAGCTGTTGAGAGCACACCATACGAACTATGGCGTGGGAGAAAATCGAGTTTCTCGTACTTTAAGATTTGGGGCTGTGAAGCTTATGTAAAACGTCTCATGACGTCTAATAAGTTGGAGCCTAAATCTGATAAAGTAATTTTTGTGGGATACCCCAAGGAAACTAGAGGGTATGAGTTCTATCATCCATCTGATAACAAAATTTTCGTTGCTCGGAATGGAACCTTCCTTGAGAAGGAGTTTCTTTCTGCTATCACTAGTGGGAGAAAGGTAGACCTCGAAGAAATTCGAGAACCACAAGAAGAAGTCCCGATAGTGTTGGAACCGAAGTAAAGAGATCAAGCAATTGAACCTCAAATTGCTCAAGATATACCACGTAGGTCAGACCGGATACGTAATCCTCCGGTCAGATATTGATTTCTCATGTCTGATGAAGGTGACGTCTTGTTGGTAGATCAAGGCGAACCAGAGACCTACCTCGAGGCAATTACATGCCCCGAATCCGATCTATGGCTCGAAGCCATGAAATCTGAAATGGAATCTATGTACACAAACCAAGTCTGGACCTTGGTTGATGCGCCCGAAGGGGTAAAACCCATTGGATGCAAGTGGGTCTTCAAAAAGAAGACAGACGTAGACGGGAAGGTTCATACCTTCAAAGCTCGATTGGTAGCAAAAGGTTATAGGCAAATCCACGGATATGACTATGATGAAACCTTTTCTCCAATTGTTATGCTAAAATCCATTCGGATAATGCTTGCGATTGCAGCCTATTACGATTACGAAATTTGGCAGATGGACGTCAAGACGGCTTTCCTTAACGGGAACCTCAAAGAGGATGTCTTCATGACACAGCCTGACGGTTTTCAAATTGCTGGTCAGTCTGCCAAAGTTTGTAAACTGCAACATTCAATCTACGGATTGAAACAAGCATCTCGGAGTTGGTACATACGTTTCGATGAAACCATTTTTAGTTTTGGTTTCGAGAAGAACTCTGACAAATCTTGTGTATACAAGAAGGTTAGTGGGAGTGTAATAGTATTCCAAATCTTATATGTCGATGACATATTGTTAATGGGTATTGATATTCCCACTCTCACTTCTGTAAAGACGTGGTTGAGCGAGAACTTCTCCATGAAAGACTTAGGGGATGCTAGTTATGTCCTTGGCATAAGAATCTACCGAGATAGATCAAGAAAGTTAATAGGTCTGAATCAAAGTACATATATAGATAAAATCCTTAATCGATTTAGCATGTCTAACTCAAAGAAAGGATCTTTACCTATGACACCTGGCACAGTTCTTTCCAAGTGCCAGAGTCCTTCTACTCCCGAGCACAAGGAACTCATGATGAAGGTGTTGGAGTTGTGCCCTGATGGCCAACTGTTCATCGTTATCCTATCACATATAGGCAGATATAATATGTTTACACATCTCATGCTAATGCAAACAAATATTATATTCCTAGATTTATATTTAAAGATGTTTATCAGATAGTGTTTTTCTGCTGATGAGACTAACATCTTGAAATAAATATTTATCTAAATGTCCATAGTCGAGTATTAACGAAAGTAGGATATCGTTAATGCATGTGAGACTAGTGTGTGTTGGATGTCTGACTTAGTCTCATAGTCAATGACAGTGTGTTCGCATCCGCACATGGGCAGATATTATCTCGAGATAATAGGATGCCGGACTGACCCATCCTAAAGATGTTACTTGAACTTTTAGTTCATGCTCTAAGCATCTTTAGCGCGACCACGGGTGTAACTATCCTTCGACTTGAAGTATTATGTTTTCTGCATATGGGAACCCGCATACTTTGATGCATTGTCCTAAGCCATGTGAAATAAGGATGGTATACAGGCTTTGTTTTGGGTATGCCGCAGCGCGTATTCAGAAACGTAGATTACGTACAAAGGATTTGTCACTACTCTTTTTAAAAGAGATTAATGTCTTATGCGGCCCACTGATAAGTTATGATTGAGGAAATTGCATGGCCATTTTGAGATGCTTTTATGACGTCTGTTCCTATCAGTCACACTTGATAAATCAGTGAATGACTTAATGGATACAAGCTGGATTTTATTAATCCCTTCCATTAAGTCTAGACATTGAGACAAAGAGATATAGTTACACGGAGTCTGAGTCGTGGAAAGGTTTGGACGGTGCAAACGTCTTAACTTATAATCTGGGGGCAATAATGTGTTGCTAGATACCGCTTATTGCTTATAGTATTGGTGCAAAGCCAATACTGTGGCCAGCTTTATAAGTGCCTATACGGGTCACACACTTTGGACAATTTAAGGAGTAGGATTAAACAATGGGATAATAAGTAATTTGTATATTTGTAAAATAGTAAAATAAAATATTTTGGAATATAATATTATATATATAAATATTCGGTTATATATATATATTTTATATATATGTGCCGATTAATATATATATATATATATATATATATATATATATATATATATATATATATATATATATATATATATATATATATATATATATATATATATATATATATATATATATATATATATATATATATATATATATATATATATATATATATATATATATATATATATATATGTTTTTAAATGGACAAGAAACTACAAATGTTCTACAAACTGCCCTATTTTTCCTGTCTGGGTTACTTTGCATGGGTTGCCCCTTCATCTTATAGATTATCAAGCCCTTTTCTCTATTGCCAGTCTTCTTGGGAAACCAATTATGTTGGATGATTATACTGTTAATAGAGATAGAAGAGAGAATGCAAGATTTTGTGTTGAAATGGATACTTCTCTCCCTCCCCCACCTATGGTGCACATTAGACTGGGGGCTAATGACCTTTTCCTTAAATGCTCATATGAAAAATTCCCTCCATATTGTTCTACCTGTCTGAAATTTGGTCACAAATCTGGAGCCTCCTGTGCCTTTTTCACCGGAAAAGCTCCCTCCGGCGAG